TCAGGATGGCTAACATAAAAAAACCAACAAACAACAAGTGCTGGCGAGGATGCGGAAGAAAGGGAACCCTAGTACACCGCTGGTGGGAATGCAGATTGGTGCAGCCACTATGGAAAACAGTATGGAGTTTCTTCAAAAAATAAAAACTGGAACTTAGGTTTGACCCAGTGATCCCACTTCTGGGAATAGATCCTAAAAACCCTGGAACACCAATCAGAAATAAGATATGCACCCTCATGTTCACAGCAGCATTATTTACAACAGCTAAGATTTAGAAACAGCCCAAGTGCCGGTCAGTAGAAGAATGGATAAAAAAATCTGCGAGACATGTACACAATGGAATACTATGCAGCAGTAAAAAGGAGGGATCTCTTACCCTTTGGGACAGCATGGATGGCCCTGGAAAATATTATGCTAAGTGAAATAAGCCAAACTGAGAAAGACACATATCACATGATCTCACTTATTTGTGGAATCTAATGAACAAAATGAATTGACTGACCAAATAAGTCTTGAAACATGAAGGCATGGAACAGACTGACATACCTCGATATGGGGATGGGGGATGAGAAGAGATAAACCAAAGATCTTATATACTTATATGCATAGCCCATGGACAGGGGCAAAAGTGTGGTGAAGACCTGGGAGGGTGGGTAGGGCTGGAAGGAGGGGGGTAAATGGGAGACATCTGTAATAAAAAATATACATATTAAAAAATAAAATACTGCATCTTTATAGACGTGAAGAGTTTGGGCTTCAGACTCAGACGTGTGTCAGTTCAAACCCGGGCTTTGTTCCTTATTTGCTGAGGGCCTTGGGCCAGTTAGGACACTCTCTGTGCCCAGGTTTCCAGGTTCCTATGAGAATAGAAAGAGTACCTCGCTTTTATGATGTTCAGGATTATTAGGTTGATGAACTGAGACAACGCAGAGAAAGTGCTTACCACCATGCCTGGCACGGAACACTCAATAAATGACGGCGAATATTAACATTTCACGCTCAGTTCTCCTGAAGATCTGAGCGACAAATCACCCTCAAAGGTACATGCACTTGAAAACTGGACATAAAGCCGCGGGAATGAATTAGTAATGGTGGACGTGCAGGGGGAAAGAATTAGGACACAGTACAGGGCAGAACTATCCTTGGAGGGGGACTCAGGAAGTAATGGTCATTATGACATCTGGCAATCTATTTCTTCCTCTCTCTTTTAACTTTTTATTTGGAAATGATTTTAAACTTACCTAAAAGTAAATCTACCCATTAGATTTATATATTGTTAATATCTTGCCTCATTTGCCTTCTCTCTCTCTCTCTCTCTCTCTCTCTCTCTCTCTCTCTCTTTCTCTCTACACACACACACACACACACACACACATTTTTTTTTTCCTGAACCACAGGGAGATGTTCCATATATCATGACCTTTTCCCTCTGAGTACTTGACTATGTGTTTTCCAAAGATGACGATATTCTCTTACATAATCATAATCATAAATTCAAGATGACACAACACTTTTATCTGATCTACCATCCACATTCCAGCACTGTCAGGTGGCCGCGCAAGGCCCCGCCCAGCACTTTCCCCTTCAGCGCAGTTCCAGCATCAGGCTTGGCATTTCCTTGTCCTACCTCCTCGGTCTCTTTTAAGATGGAGCACCTCCATCTTTTCCTCTGTTGGCATCAGCCTCTTTCTGGACAAACAAACAAACAAACAAACAAAGAAGAGGGCATGGGATAGATGTGGGTTTGAATCCTGGCCTTATCACTCAGGAGCTGAGTGCCCGGGACAAGCTACTTCTCTTCCCTGAGTCTCAGTGTTCTCATCTGCTAAATGGGAATAGTAATAATATATGGTGACAATTCAATGAAGTCGTGTGTGGCCCTGAGGCATCGAACAGGGAGACCAGTAAATGATCAATACATGTGGTTGATGTAATTACCGATGCGTCAGCGATTAATATAATGTAATTAGTTCTGGCTCTGCCACTTCCTTGCTGTGTGACCTTAAGGAAGTTGCTTTGCCTCTCAGAGACCCAATGTCCTGGGCTGTAAAGATGGGGCTTTTAAGACCTTCCTCCTGGGATTGAAGGAGACAGCGAGGCGAAGCATCCAGTTAAAGGCTGGTGCCTAGAGGGGCTTCGTTAACGCCAGTTCCCTTTCCCCGTGTGGATGCCCACGAGCCTCTATCAGCAATAGAGCCTCCTGCCTCCACTTCTCCTATCAGCTCCCGTTTCCTGCAGAATTTTCCAAAAGCAGGCGCAGACTTTGTGGAAATTCACTCCAGGGACAAAGCCCTCGCAGCAGCAGGCGCTACCCTGTGGGAGTTCTGAATCCTGGAGATGATTGACAGCTCTCTGAAGGAGCAACTGGAGACCTGCCCCTCCCCCCGAGGTTTCCTGCCCAGAGTATTTTGGAAAAAATCTTCTCTCTGTTGGTCAAACAAACTGCCCTCGTGGGTGTGGTGGGTGTGGTGGGTGGTTGGGGCCTGGGGTGGTGGTGCTCACAGGGTGCTGGTGACTCATTTGTGATTGAAATTGGAGTCTGATCTCTGGGGCCTTCAGGGAAACTGACGTGGTGACTGCCCCAAGCAGAGCCCTCCTGGTCTTCCTGGGGCTTCTTCCCAGCAGCCAGGTCTCGGCTCAGCACCACCTCCTCGGAGAAGCCTTCCCTGGCCGCTGCTTCTAATGTTACCCTCTCCCACCCCCAGGTCACGGCCCTGTTTTACTGTTTGCTTAACACTGAGCACTGTCTGAGAGCTGGTCTGATTCACCTGTTCACCCGACTCTCATCTGTGTCCCCACTGGGACGTAAGCCCCAGTTATCGGGGACCCAGGGACTGGGCAGTGTTCCTCTCTGTCCATCCCCAGCCCATGGCACGGTGGCCTGGTCCTGATCTGCAGGCACACATAGGAGGTCAAGAGGGGATCTGTGATGGATGGACGGGGTGGGGCTGAGTTAGGAGGGTCATGACCTCTGACCCCTGGGAGCAGGGATGAAATGTCCTCTTTTCCTTCTTTAATCAAAGTTGGTTGTCATGACCCGTCCAGTCCACCTGGATGAGAAAGCCCTGGGACTGCTCCTGTCTCTACCATCTTCTCAAACACTGATGCCATTCCTTGCCCAAATGAGCTGCAAGTGAAAAAAAAAAAAGAATTTGTGGATGCGAAATGAAGTTTAAAACTCAAGAAAGTCACTCTAGGTGTAGGACTGACATGAGCTAGTCTGGGAAGGGCATTACCGCCCCATCTTCTGTCTCTCCTCTCATACCCCACAGGGCGTGGTGGGATCAGGACTTGGGGGCCGAATCCCAGTCGAGCGACAAGTCATCTGTGTGACTTGGGTCAATGCTGTCTCCTCTCTCATCCATCAGGCTCTTCATCTGTGAGTCAGGACCTCAGTGCCTTCCTCATGGGTGAGGACGGAGTGACCTACCCTCACCAGGGCCCCAAGCGCAGGCACAGAGGGCTTTCCTGATGGGCTCGGGCAGGTTAGGGGAGAGTTCAGGTTCAAGGCCTCTGGGGTCAGACAGACTTGAATTTGTATCTCGACTCTCCTTCTTACAAGCCAGTGACTGTGGACAATGCACTTTACTCTGTCAAGCCTCTGTTTTCTCATCTGTGAAATGGCTATATTCATACCTGCATATTTCCCTGGGCTGCTGGGACCATCAGCTAGAATATATATTTTTTATACAAAATATCATTCAGGTCACTGTTACTGTTTAAAGCAGGGGTGGGGAACCTTTTTTTCTGCCAAGGGCCATTTGGATATCTATGACATCATTCGTGGACCATACAAAATTATCAACTTAAAAATCAGTCTGTTATATTTGGTCATTTAATTAACTCACCGCTAATGCCTTGGCAGGGCCAGAACAAATGATTTCCCGGGCCTTATAGGGTCTGCGGACCGGACATTCCCCACCCCTGGTTTAAAGCCTCATAATTTTAGAAGCTTCTCAGACAGAATTGAAACTATCACGGTGACCGAATCCCTAAATAAAATCACAGATTTATTACTCAACCAATTCCATGAAAGTGATCTGCATCATTCATTGCCAGGCTCCTGTTAAACAAAAGAGCTGATAGATATCTTTACCACATGGGGGCGCAGGAGGCAGGGGGGTGGGGGGGGCTGATGCTGCAGTGACAGAGAAAAGATGGATGTCACTGCTCCCCAAATTTCCTCTGCTGTCTTTCCTCTTTGCAGCCTCCCTTTGCCCAGAGCAACGTGCTTCATCCACTTACTCAGCCTCCCCTGCATCTGCCTTTAGGAAGAGCATCGGCCACACCTGAGACTCCTGGTCCTGAGGTGCGCTGGTCAGGTGAGGGCCTCAGGGGGCCTGGCCCTCCAAATGCATCCCTGCCGTCTGGTCTGTCCGTGGACGAGGAGGGTGGCCTGTGGCTGAGGGCGGCGGCTGGAAGTGACCTTCCTCACTCGCCTCCACGAGTTTGTTTGCGAGAACACAGACCCACCAGTGGCCTCCGACAATATGTGTTCCGACATCATGTAAGGGACGTATTTTGCTCAGAAACATGCCCTGTTAGTTGTTGAAACCTCTTTTGCATTCCCCGAAACAAATGACGGTGCTGTATTTTCTTTTGGGGGGCAGTCAATACAAGTCTTTCATGTTGACAATGACAATATTATATTCTGCGATCTATTTGCATTTCTCTCTTTTGCGGGTTTCATTGCTTGGTATAAATCCCCAGGCTGAAGCGAATGAAGCTTCACTGGGGAGAAGCAGTGCGTCTTACCATAGGGCTGGGCAGCTCCCCTCGCAAGGTGTCGCCGACAGGGCTTGGCTTTTGCCAAGATGAGCCCAAGGTAGGAAGCTGCGCCCGTGTGTGCCCGTTCGGCGTGTGCACGCGAAGCCTGGAAGGATTTTCTATGGATCCACAAACTGTGTTTCCAAGGAGGAGCCGGTCTGAGCACACGCCGCTTCCATGTGCTATGCACGGCCCATCCCGCCAGGAGGCCCTGAGGGAAGGGTCGCAGCTGCTTGAGCTCTGCCCAGAGCTCTGGGCCGTGTGCTGGGCAGAAAGCTGAACCGAGACCGAGAGAGAGAGAAGCATCTAGAGACGTGTAGAGGAGCGCGCCTCTCTCCACCCTCCTGGGGGTCTCCTGGATATTTCTGAGCGTAGGAGTGTCTTCTCCCAGCAGGCAGGTCAGTATGTTTCTGAGCTAAATGAGGACACAGCCTCAGCCAGGGTTAGTATTTACCAGCCGCCCATGGAGCACTGACTATGGGCTATGCTTTGCACGAAGCACCCCCTCATTTAATCCTCACAACAGTCCCAGGAGGTAGGTGCTGCTGTTCTCCCCATTGTACAGATGGGGAAACTGAGGCCCAAGGCTCCACAGCTGGTAACTTGCAGAGTAGAGAGTCAACCCCTGGGCAACTGGGAGTTATCTGTGGGAGGAGGAAATGTGTCATCTCTGCTTGCTGGGAGCAGCCATTGGCAATGTTTATGAGATCACTCCTACGCCATGAATAAAAATTTCAAGAAAGAATGAATGAGTGACTTTAATGGGGGTCATTGTATCTGTTGGGTTGTCCGGCATATGTAAATTTCCATAATGTCTTTCTATTTCAGCCAAGGCTGTCTCCTTTCCTCCTTGTCTAGTGGAGTTTCCTAGGTGTAGAAGTTTCCCAGGAGCATTTGTGAGCAGGTATGTCTATGCGTGGTCGGCTCTGTTAATTTCATCCCAAATCCCTTGGAAAAGCGCAGAGTCCCTGCTTCAGCTCCATTGGGAAGGGCTGGGCAGCTCAGTTCAGTTGGTTAGAGCATCGTCCTGATACGCTCCCCAGTCAGGGCACATACAAGAAGCAACCAGGGAATGCATAACTAAACGGGACAACAGGTGAATGCTTCTCTCTCTCTCACCCTCTTCCTTTTTTTTCTCTCTAAAAATCAATTTAAAAAATTTGAGGACACCTGAGTTACTAGACTGGTTAGGGTAAGGGAATGGGTCCTAAGTATCCAACCTGTGTTTTCCTTTTTAGTGAGTTTATTGGGGTGACAATGGTTAACGAAATTGTATAGGTTTCAGGTGCACAATTCCACAACACATTGTCTGTACACTGTATTGTGTGTCCACCACCCCAAGTCAAGTCTCAGGCCATCACTTTCAAAGGAAATTTCTGTGGTTTGGATTATTAAAGTCATAAATGCTTATCTAATTGTATTTCAAGCCCATTTATCATTTTTTTTTTTTAGTCTAAGGAAGATTCACTCAGTCAGAAGGGGTGGAATTAATAAATGATTCCCTTTTTAACTCGGCCTGGGCCTCATTCGAACGCCCGTTTTCAACTTGAGCTTGTAAGTATGGCATTTGTGAGTGAAATTGCCCTTGTATGTTCAGGGTAATTGAATCCCATTTTTCACTTTCCATTTCCCTCTAGAAAAATAAAAATGTTTACAGAGTTTAGCTTCTCAGTGGGGGATTTTCTAAGGTGGGAATTTCAACAGCATAAGAGAGGCTGGTGCGGCCATGACATTCAGGACAGGCTGTTAGGCCTGTGCTCGGCCCATGGACGGGTCACCTCAGGCAGCTTCGAAGATCAGATGGATTTCTCTGTTTTCACTGGAAACACCAAAGGAATGTCCACACCCTGTGCTTGTATCAGGGCTGGGGGGTGAGGAAAGCTAGAGTTCTGGCCAGATTTTCATCATCCATGGAGTGGCTCAGGGCAGTACTTACTGATCAGAGGCAGACCACATGCTAAATCAGCTTGGATCAGGGTCTCCGAAAATGTTGGACAAATGAGAGTTGACTTTAGGTGGCACTTGGATAGCGTTGAGTCACATAGTGATATGGGATTATCTTTCCAACTGTCTTTCAATCCTGATTATATCAAGGACACAGTCTCTGTATGATGCTTGATCTTTAACATCGTTCTTATCTGTTCTTTTAAAAATAAAGGCAGACTGGGCCTGAATGCGGGCCTTTAGGAGTTCTGGCTTCTGGTTTGGATTTAATAACATGGCTTTCTTTTTCATTGTTTTGCTTGTACGATGACCTTTGATTGCTGGCAGTTTTGAAGAGAAATATGTGAAGTTTCATTGTAAGACAGATGGGTTGAAGATTTTGTTTACTGTTAAGTAAATGACTGTGTTCAAAGCACTTTGGACACCGGGCCTGACGCAGGACAACACTAATTGTATATGGAGGACTCGCTCTGTAGCCAGCAGTGTCCTGCTTCTTACACGTGCTCCCAAGGTGTTGTCACAATCACCCTGTGGATAGGTACTGTTATTTCCTCTGACTTAAGGACACGGAGTCTAAAGCTCAGAGAGGTGCAGAACTCGCCTGCATGTCACGTGGGCCCTCGCATTTCAGATGCACTCATCTCAGTGGCCCAGCGGGAGGTGAAAGGAGGTAGGTTTCTCCTGGACTCACAGGTGCGATTTCCAGTCTGCCCTCTGCCCTCACTAGCTGTGCCCCCCGAGCTTCAGTTTTCCCATCTGCAAAGTGGGTGTTATGAGCAGCGGGAGGGAAATGGTGCGTTTCGTTTCCTGCCACAGGGTCGGCGATGTGGTTGATAGTCATGCAAACGGTAAGACAATTCAGAGCTGATCCCTGGGCTGAGCCTGGCGGAGAGCAGGTCCCTTCCGCCGAGGTTAGCTGGGCTCTGTGTTCTCATTGTCCGACTCTGAGTTGGCCGCTGGGTGGGTGGGAAGGTGAGATGTGGTTCACACCCCTGCAACCTGGTGAAGAAATATGTTCCTGGGGCCAGAAAGCCAAGCGGACGCATCTGGCCGGGATGGCCCAGCAGCATGAAGGTCAGAGTTTGTGCTCCGAGCGGCTTCCCCCTTCTCAGGCTGCAGAGCTTTGGCAAGGTTCTGAGTTAAGCTTAATTAAAATTCACTCTTAATTGGGGCCATTACTTCAAATCAACTCTACGTAATGAAGCTGTGTAATCATAATTAAGCTCCAGAAATAGAATTAGGAAGCCAAGCACGGGCGGGCCCGGTGCCAGGGGCGGCAGGGAGGGGACTTCTGGAATCACCGAGTTTTCAGATAGTCACGGCCGCTGAGTGCAGTGACAGGAGGAACCTCAGCGGCCCCACCATCAGGACAAGGAACTCACCAGAAAGAGGGTTTGGGATACAGGGAACCCCGAGAGGCAAAGCTTGAGTGGCACCAGGCAGAGGGGCCCAAGTGGTGATGAGAGCAGAGTCCCCTCGGGAGGAGGCCCAGGCTGTGCTCCGAACTTTTGGGTTAGACAAGGGCAAGTCTGCTCTCCAGCAACTGTGTCCCCCGCTGGGAAGTCAGGGTCAAGGGCAGCTGTTTCCAAACAAGGACATCTCTCTCCGGACTCACGCAGGGCTCTCCTCAGGGGGTTTCCTGGCAGGCAAGTCAGGGGCAATGCCTCTGCTTGCATGACCCTCTGCTTGAGGGCACGTGAGGCACTTACCTTTGCAGTTGTTGGCGCCGCTGTTTGGGTGGTAGCTTCTCTTTTCACGCGGAAGAATTACCCGCCCCCACGCTGGTAAGCATGTGAAGAGTGGGAGCGTGGGTTTTGGAGTGAGGTGATCAGAGGTTGAACTCCGGATGTGCCAATGACCGGCCACGTGTCTAGGGCAGTATTTACCTCACTCTCCGTTTCTCCATCTGTCATGAGAGAATTATAATAGAAGACGTCTCAAAGGCTATTCTCACAATGATATATACACCCAAAGCACTTCGGACACCGGGCCTGACGCACGACAACACTAATTGTATATGGAGGACTCGCTCTGCAGCCAGCAGTGTCCTGCTTCTTACACGTGCTCCCAAGGTGTTGTCACAATCACCCTGTGGATAGGTACTATTATTTCCTCTGACTTAAGGACAAGGAGTCTAAAGCTCAGAGAGGTGCAGTAACTCGCCCAAGGTCACACAGTAAGTAAGAGGCCATTAGTACCAATGGTATTATAATAAAGGTGCTCTATGTGCCTATGCGTTTGATCTGCTGGTCAGAATTAGTTAGATCTACAGACAACACGTGCCCAGAAGTTCTACACAGGTCTCCAGGGAAGTCTCTCAGCTAAGCTTGTCCCAAGTCTGTGGCTCTAACTCAGCCAGAGGAGGCCAGGCATTTGGACTCTGAGAGGATGGAGCTGTGGGTGCTGATTCCAGAGCTGTGGGGTTGGAGGGAAGAGACAGCGAGAGAGAGCGTCACCGAGTATCTGTTTTTTTACTTGGCATGTCAGTTGTCCTTGCTCAGGAGACCTTGGGAATCACCCTCAGGAGTGGTGAGGGGAAGTCTAGGCACCTGAGCCGAAGAAGAGCTGTGCCCCCCCCTGAACCCCCAGTTGTCCAGAGCATGGCTCATACTTCTTATGCCACCTTCATGAATGCCCACTGGGTGCCTGGAATAGAGTTGGGCCACAGTTGGCATCAAAGCCCCATGAGTCAGAAATGACCACTCCCATTCTGCCGATGAGGAAACTGAGACTCAGAGAAGCACTGGCCAATGCGAAATGCATTCTTCGAACCTCGATTTGGGTTTTTAATTCATTCTACCAAACCCCATCCTGTCCCAGAGATACTGCCCAGCTGGAGTGCCTCCCAGACTCTTTCCCTGCTCACCACTGAGCCAGGCCAGCGGGAAGGACCTCTCTGCCCTCAGACTCAGAACCAAATATGCCTTTGGTGCCAGGAAGGTCCTGCAGTTCATGTTTCCTAAACAGCCCCAGGCGTTCATTCTGCTTGCATGCCTCCAGTGATGGGGACCTCACTACTTACTGACTTAAATCCTTCACTTTGGATTAGAGCAGGAGGGAAATTTGGCCTCAGCCTAATATTCCTGAAGGCCCTCCAATTCAGACTTTGGATGTCATTGCTACATGAGTTCTATACCAGTTACTGTATGGAAAGTGTTCATCTGTTAAATGTAAATGGTTCAATCATATTTATCACTTTTTTTTTTTTTGCAAAGCTGTGTTCCTATTTCCTCATCTTATATTATTATTTTCTTTATGTACCAGGAACCTGAATCAAGAAAGAAAACATGAGTTGCCCGGTCCACTCCCCATGCCTAGGAGACCCCGAAAATTAACAAGGGCATTCTTGTTGGGCCCTAACCTGTGTATTTGCAATGTTTCTGCTCCCTGGCGAGGCTGTGGTGTGGGAATTGGAGGGAGGTCTTGCTCTGATAGAGAAAGGTTCAAGTTCACTGCCCAGGACCAGCTTTAGACAGCCAGGAAGCCTGCTGTTTTGGAGAGGAGGGTAAATGGTGGAGTGGGGGGAGGAGGCTGGTGACCAACTCAGTTGCTCAGAATCTTGTGAGGAATGGTAGCAACTTCCTGGTGCCCGTGCCAGGCTGCCCCACAGCACAGTTGAGGGGCCCCCTGCCCGCGGTAGTCTATGTGAATGCCTCCCTATGGAGTTGGGCTACGCGGAGACCCCGATGCCAACCCCAACCCCAGAGAGCACCACAGAGGGAGCTAATGCCACCTCAGGGGACTGAACCCCAAATTGCAAAGGTGTCACAGACACTGGCTCATGAGGAGGCCACGTCCCTCTCCCAGCTGTGACCTCTTTGTCCTCTACCCCGAGAGCCTCGGCCTCTATTTACACTAAATAGACGCAGCGCCATTTGCCGGTTGCTGTATTTTGGGCAAGCCCAGCTGGAGGCCCCCGCAGCCAGTCTGAGCAGGCAGCCGGCCGGGCGGAGGTCACGAGGAAGGGCCTGCTCTTCCAACAAAGTTTAGCAAACACCTTATCTCCCCAGAGCAGGTGAGGTAATGTTTATGAAAGATCACTCTGTCCCCTTCCACCGGGCGGGGGTGCAGCTGTGACCAACTCAGGCCCCATGGACTCCCCTCAGCTACCCTGCCTCCCCCGTGCAAGCCCACAGAGCCTCAGTGTCCTCGCCTGTAAAGGGGACCCAGCTCATGCGGTCGCCCTGGCGATGAAACAAAGCCCGCACATAGGGCTGAGCACGGCGCTCTGCGAACAGGTCATCCTCAGCGAGCATCACCGCGGTCACCGTCCCGGCTCCAGTGCGCCAGGCCTGCTGTTTGGGAGCCAGGCTCTCACAGATGTGGCACAGCTGGGCTCTGAACGCACTTGTCCAGTCTCAACGCCAATGACCTCACCCTGACCAGCCTCTGCGTTTTCCCTCAAAACAGCCTGAATTTCCTCCCAACCTCCCCCTGTGGTCTTGCCAAGAAGAAAATCTAGTTTTCCATGAACACCGAGGAGAAATGAACCCGTTTCCAAGAACCTCAGAGGACGATGGGTGCGTCTTTCCTGCAGGGTCTTCGGCTTCAGCCGCCATGTGTGTCTCCCGGTGCAGGGAATCCCTCCCACAGCCTGTGACCGCTAGCAGACTCAAGGGCAAAGTTCAAACCAGCCGCTGTGCCCCACACCCTCACTTCTGCAGCAAGACCCAGGGACTCCAGAGCAGCAGTTTTCATTTGACAATCAAAGACGTTGTTTATCATTTGGCTCCAAACACATTCTGTGTTGAAAAATCTTGGCTAGCTATTACTTTATCGGCGTCAGTCAATGGCAAATTATGTGTCCCATTCTATCCCAAATGAGGACTTCGGATTGGTGTGGGATGACCAGTGCACTGGCAGTGATTGGGTGCCCATCACCTCCCAGGGGGTCTGCTGGACAAGCACGTGATGGCCTTAGCTCATTGAATCCTCCCACCAACCCTCAGAGGTCACTACCTGCATCATCCCCACGGCACAAGTGCAGGGACCCGTGCTCAGGAAGGCCACCGAGCTAGGAAGGGGCAGAACTGGGAAATCAGAGCTGGGCTAGGGAGGACCGTCACTGGCAACATACTGAGGCCGGCAGGGCAAGCACCCAGGCATGTGCGACCTGGAGCCCTTGAATGCCTCTGAGGGCCCTGCCAGGGTGGGCCTCCTCCAGGCGATGTCTCCCAGGGCTTTAGGTGGCTGAGGAGCTGTGGAGGGTTAAGGTGAGACCCAGGAGGACCCCCAGCCATCCTGGGAAGCCGGACCGGTGCACACAGGACTTCTCAGCACTGCACATGGTGACTGCTCACCCGACAGGACACAGGCTTCCCATAGAAGGGCAGCTTGGATCAGGTGACCCATGAGGCAAGAGAGTAGAGTGGTCAGCACAGGGGCTTGCAAACTGGGCAGGCAGGGATCCTTCCATCTGATAGGTCTGTGAACCAGAGCGAGGCTTCCATGACTTGGTTTTATCACCTGTAAAATGGGTCAGAACAACCTACCCCAGTGTTGCTTCAGATGATTTGGTGAGAGAAGACGTTACCTGATGCTTGGAAGACTGTAGGTGCTTAATAATTGAGAGTTGCCATTCTTACTACTGGGTGGGTGATGCTCTAAGAGTCTCCCTTGGTCATAAACTTGAAATATTAATTTCTGCCTCA